GCATCTATTTTTAGATACACACTATGACACTGTTTGCACCATCCACCTGTGCAACATTATCCAAAAACTCGGTTCGTTTATTCCTTTCGAGCACTTATTTCTATAAAACGCACCAATTGGAACCTCGCACTTCACTTTAAGACCTCGATAGTTTTTTTTCGAGAGCGCAACGATTTCGTACATACACACAACTAAAACTATGGAAAGTTGGCAAGCAACTCCGAGCGGCTGACGACGTTACGTTGAGCACACGCTGACTTTATTTGAATCTCTCTCGTTTCAAAATCATCTTTGGATGTCGCCTATATTTAAAAAAAGGCAAGCACACGGTTGTACAAAACGTATCTACACGTTTCTGTTACAACATAATTCACCTTGTTTTACATTTTTCCTACGTTATAAGGTGTCAATTTGTATTCTAAAATCAAGTACAGGTACCTAATAATATTTAACCTATTTTTCAAATTTATTAACTACAGTTTTTAATCTTATTATTATCTCTGTTAACCCTATGGTATCCCTGCTTAAAATACCCCATAGAGACCTATACAAAATATTCTATAGGGCGCTACCGGTTTCAATATGTGCATTTGTCCAAGGTTTTTTCCGGATACAGCCCGATAGAAAATGTATAGGAAATTACCTATAGGCACACCATAACTTTTACATTTTCCCTATTGAGACCGATAGAAAATAACTCAATGAAGGATATATAGGGATATCCCTATAGAACAACCATAAAACATTTGACAAAATTTTATTAAAACCTATGGGGTCCTATAGGGAAAAAACTAATTTCTACATTTATGTGTATTTTCCCCATTGAAACCGATAGCAAATAAATCAATGGTGGATATCCCTATAGAACAACCATAAATCTCAACTATGGGTCCTATACAAACCGATACACCCTATAGAAACACCATACATCCCGATACAAATATCTATCGGTTTGAACAGGGTCTCTATGGGGCATTTTAAGCAGGGATATATACAGTGGGACCCATTTGTTTGCGACTCACCACTGTAAAATCTTTATTTATTGTGCGATTTTAATCGGATTTGTTTTAAAGTGTAGATCTTAATAAACTATATTTTTAAAACAAAAAACGCCATATTTGTACAAAATTCAAGGCCTACTATGCGATTTTTTAAAACAAAATCTAAGCATGGCACTGGATTCACCACCCCTTAAAACGACCCTATACTAAATTTTATAATAATAATAATAATTACAAAAATGTATTCTGTGTCAAGTGATCCATTAAAAAAACATTGAAATAAAATTAAACTTATAGTAACAGTACCATGTTACTATTAGTTTAATTTTATTTCAATGTTTTTACATGGACAACTTGACAAAATAAATGTTTGTAGTTATTATTGTGAACTTTTCAACATAAAATGTTTTAATAAAATTTAGTAAAGGGTCGTTTTGAGGGTGGTTTGTTTAAAAAATCGCTAATATACATTCTTAAAAATTTACTCCTAAAAACTGACATAGTGAGCCTTGTATTTTGTACTAATATGGCGTTTTTGTTCCAAAAATACAGTTTATCAAAATCTACACTTTAAAACAATTCCGATTAAAATCGCACAATAAATAAAGATTTTACAGGGGCGAGTCGCAAACAAATGGGTCAACGGTATATATATGTATATATATATTTATATATACATATTATTGCTTCTGTATTTATAATAAATATGGTTTGATATATTATTATTTGTATACAGGGTAAAAATATTATGATTTTAACAAACTTAGCTTAGTTCAAAAGTTGATAGTAACTGAGATACAGGGTATCCCAGTAAAAATTTAATTTTTGATTTTCTTAATTAATTTATTTTTAAATCAATATTTTTGCAAACAATTTTGTGCTCAGAGTTTTTTTTGGGTGAGAAATTTGAATTTGTTAATAATTTTAATACTTGAAAAAGAACAACATGGTGATATGTTAAACAAATATTAGAAATATTCTATTTACGTGTTCACTGAAGCGGTTACGGTCCACAGTTTAGTAAACTGTGTCCGTTCACGGTTCAGTCAACCTTAGCTTATAATTAGTATAAATATGGTAGATATAGCAGTTAGATTTAGTTACTATTCGCTTCTGAAGATGCCAACATCGTTGGCGAAAAGTACTTTAAGCACTTTGTGTTTTGTTTTGGTGCTGGGGAATATTTCTAATAATTGTTTAATAATTTTGATGTAAATAGTAGAGGGCGCTCTCTGTGGCACTCTGGGTACATAAAAACAAGTGTAACTTTTTCGCGCCATCGCTTATTTATGTTTTTATTAAAAATATCAATTTTCTCACCATTTTTACGCAAATGTATAATGTTATAAATTTCTATTCGCGGATTTGTTTTTGAAATTTTTGCATTTACAATTTTTAATGCATCCGTTTAAATTGTTATTTGCAAACGTGAACTTTTCAAAGTAGGCCTAATTCTATTAAACTCATGTGATTTGTCAGCTTTATAGTTATTTTTTAAATTTTCTTGTGCGTATAAGCTTACCATGTCTCGCATTTCTTCGTTAGAATAAAAGTGGCATTTTTAACTTAACTTTTAACAGGTTTATTTAAAAACTTTAAAACAAATTTCTCGAGCCAAAAAACAACTAATCACAAAATTGTATGCAAAAATATTGATTTAAAAATAAGTTAATTAGGAAAATCAAAAATTAAATTTTGGCTGGGTATCTTAGTTACCAACAACTTTTGAACCAAGCTAAGTTTCGACAAATTTACAGTTTTACTGTGTAGCATTAGTTATGGTACATCCTGTATATATAAAGATTATCCGGTTTTCGAGGCTTTTCTTTAGAGATATATATTGGTTAAATTAGAAAAAAAGATGGGCATTTTTATGCCAATCAAGAAACTAAAAAAAAAATTGACTTATCATTTTTAGTTTTCGAGATATCGTAAAAAACGAAAATTTGTAATTTTAATTTTTAGTTAAAAAACGGTTAAACGTAACTTATTCTAATTCAGGCACTTTCTGAAGGGGAATTCAAAAAAAATTTGCTTGCTTTCAAAACTACCGAGATAAAATTAGCGAGATATTTATGCTTAGCCTCGAAAAACGGACTCCCTGTAAACGTACTAACTTAGGGTTTTTATTGGCTACTATGACAATTAACGCGGTCATAATATTTTTCGAAAATAAGCCGCCTAGTTTTTTGAAATAAAAAAACAAAACATTCATTAAACTTAGCATAGAATTCTGAAAAAAAAACCGTTTTTCTCTAAAACGGTTCACGTTAGAGCTTTTGACCAAGATTACCTTTTTTGTGTAGATAACAATGTCAATTCAAAATTTCCTCAGTGACATAGAAATAAGGGTAAAAAACCATAAAATCTGGCATAAGAAAAAATTAAATAAGCGCTTAAAACATGTGTATCCTTCTAAGCATGGGTATCTTTTTATTTGAAGGGCTACAAGGCCGGTTAAATTAGACAAAAGTTGCGTAATTACAGGTCTATTGAAATGGCATTTAAATTTGGAAAAAATTAGCGTTCTCAACTCAAAATATTTATAGACCGCTGGTTTTTTTCAATTTATAATTTTATTTTAATAGGCTTGTACACAACTTTTCTATAATTTAACCGACCTTGTAGCTCTTTCAATAAAAAAAAATACCCACAGAAGGATACTTTTTGCACCCTACATATACATTAAATTAAGCCCTTTATCCATTACTAAAAACCTAAAAAGTTTTAATAAATTCGGCCAAGGAGTTATTGAAATTTTTGAAAAAACTAATATTTTTTTAATAACTTTACCACTCTGTATCTCAAAAACCAAGCTTTAAAACATAAAAATTTATGGAAACTGGACTACTAAATTTTCTCAATTATAATCTGAGATATATATTTTGGATTGGACATTAGCCTTTATTTCAGTTGCCATAAGTACAAGGTATTTTTTTTACATTAATTAATTAGTTAATACAAATTGTGGTAAAATATAGTAAATAAAAAATAATACCGTTTGGGAAAAATGGGTATTCTTCTAAAATAATCTTGTCTAACCTAAACAATAAAAATTCTAGTTTTATGTTAGCTTTTGTATAAATTCGGATATTTTTTTGTTATAAAATAAGCATAAGCCATAAAAAAATATTAATTGGATAGGGCGGAAGTAGGATGATTTTGATATATATTCTGTAACTTTTTAACTTATATTATTTTGGCTGGTTAAGTTATAGTTTTTGCGTAGGGCAATGACGAGCTTTTGTAATAATCTCTAAAAAATATGCCTTCATGCTGTCATTTAAGTGACATTTTTAAAATAACATTTCAAAATGGCATACCTTATATAAGTTTTATATATATATATATATATGTTTTCCAAAAATAGAAAGCTTTTTCCTTACATCATTTGGTTTGATTTTTGTTGACATCCTTAAGAGAAGCAATAATTCTTTTATTATTATTATATTCTTATTTCTTGTGGTAGTTGAATAAAATATTGTGTGCGACTATTGGTTAAAAGAGGAGATTTTACTTTTTGCCACTAGTCGCCCCAATAATATTATACCAATTACTTAGTCATACTTTTATTTGTCACATAAACTAAGCGGCCATAGTATCTTTAACTCTTAATGAATTTTCATACGCTTTTTGGTACTGTGTAGCTTGATCTTTCTACTTTAGTCAAAATCTATTCAAAGTGGAAATAAATATTTTTTGTAATTATACAGGGAAAATTACAAATGCATAAAAATTCTGAAAAACTTTGACCTACTCCCAACTTTGTAAAAATGTTTTTAACCTCTTTGGTGTTCATTTTAACACAATACCTCCAAACTTTGAAATTAAATACATACCTAGTTTAACGCTATTTTTGTTGCTTAGTTTTTAATGTTTAAACATAAGATTTAAAAAATAATTATAATTATGATGATTATTTCTGTTAATTGAAAGCTTTCCCATTTCAATATCTGGCGAATTAGAATTATAAATAAAAATAAAACAGCGATTACTTACCTCAGATAATCTTTTTTTATCACTTTTATCTCTGTTGCCATTGGTGTATAATTTTATCACATTTTTTGCTCCCTCAACGACTGCTCCCTCCACTCTTAATCTGTGTTTTAAATCTTCTATTCTGTCATCCAAAAGTGGCATCAAATCGCCCCGGATTTCGCCACCGTTTGCTGTCAAATCGTGCATTGATCCCCGGTTTTTTGATGTAATATCGTGTTTAATCTACAAAGAAAAATCGGTCTTAATGAAAACATAAAATATGTTATCTAAAACGATTTTAACACAAACTAAAAGCTGTAATCTGTATCAAAGATCTTATATTTAAAATATGCCGGAGTCAATATTTCAAGCAACTTGCTAATAAGACTCAAATGTCTTGAATAAAGTTAATATGATTCTTTAATCAAGTAGCAAAATAAAATATTTTGAAGTTGTTATGTCAGGGTTGCTTACCTTTGTTATTTTCATTTTTAAATACTCTATCTTCTTTTTTGAATCTTTTAACATCTGTTGAGCTTCTGTCAGTAGTTTTTTATCTTTTCCTGTAATACTTTGTATCATATTTTCAGCACCTTGTTTGACTTTTTGCTCAATGTTTAGCTGTTTTTCCAAATTTTTCAGACTTAGGTTGTACTTTTCACTGTTGTAGTCATCAAGTGATGCTTTTTGAAGTGAATCTAAAATACAAAAATATAAATACAGGTTTAAACAACTGTTACAATTAAGACACAAGTATACATTTTTGCATGTAAAGTTGTTTTTCTAGAAGCGTGCAGAAAGTTGCACTTTTCCGCACGCTCTGCTGCGCGGAAAGTAAATGCGAGCAGAAAGTATCAACTTTCCCCACGCTTGTAGAAAAAATAATGTACCTAACACGGGCGAAAAGTGTCTTTTCCGCACCCGACTGATGACCGAACTCGTTCAACGGCATTCACGTTTGGAAAAGTAGCACTTTTCGCACCAGTTAGGTAAATAACTATTTTATTACCATTTACTACGGTAAATTTGTGATTTATAATTTTAAACTTCCTATTCAATTAACAATGTACATAAATTATAAAGCCAAAACCATCCAGGTCAAAGACATACTAAAACTTAAATATATAATAATAGAATATTATAAAATATTTGTATACCTGACGTGGATGTTAAGTGTTTGATAGAATTAATAAAAATATAAAATAATGCATAATATGCTTGTAATAAAATTTAAAGTTGTGTTATGTTCACATAAGGTAAAATTTCAAGACGTATTTTCCTTTACCAATTTTACGAAACTGCAAAATTGCAGAAGTTATTTAACCTTTAAAGCCGCCAATGAGAGCCCTAGTGTCATATTTTTGTTAAGAACCATTTTTGAGAAATGTTTTTTAATGAAAGTCTACCTTATTTTTGATTCTCCATTATTTATCTCTTAAAATTAATGAAGTTTAAACTGGGATACCCTGTATATTAGTATGAAAACATCATATAGAAAACGGCCGGATGTCATTTTTCTATGTCATTTTTTATATCATGTCATTTACTCCTAAACCAAAGGGATTTACTATTTCGAAAATTGGCGTTTAACCAGCATAAAAAACATTAACAAATTCTATTGAAATATTACAGTAAGATAACTGTATGGAAACTTGAATTGCAGTATGTATACTACAGGAGTTTTGTGGTGATTTAATTTTTTAATTTTATCAGTGGTTTATATTTTACCATTTTTTTATTATATCGTGTTAATGGTTTAATAGAAAAAATACTGTTATGTTATTTTCAGACGAAATGCGTTTTATAATTTAATAAAACTTAATTAACCAGAACAACCTTAAGAAGCTGCTGATACACTTGAGAAACCGTATATAAATAATCCTTTAAAAAAGGAGCTTGAAATATACATCATACATATACATAATAAATAAGCTTTGCATGTAAATGCAATTTGGATTTAAAACATACAAATATTGAAATTTATAAAAATCAAACATAACTATAATTATAATCAATGCATTTCATGCAAATGTAACGAATATTAACAGCAACCAATACAAGTCGTTCAAGATCATGTTCTATTGTTAGAATTCGGTTTTGAATCGAGTATATTTCGATTTGTTTTTTTACGATTAAATTTATTTTTGTCGCAGTTTCAGCTCAAAATTCTAATAAAATACAAGGTAATTTCAGATTTTTTATGACTGCAAGTTTTTAGAGAAATTTAAATATATTTGTATCTGTGGAACCCTTAAACCCAATTATGTGGTAATATTATATGTATTTATTTATTTACCTAATAGGATTTGACAAGCCATTTTTGCATAAAACAACTTATATACCCGGTGTTTCATCTAATCAATTTTTGAAATGATTATTCAAGGTATTAACTTGAAATTGTTCCTTTCTACTGGAATTTAACATCTTAAAAATAGAATTTACCTACAGTGTGACCCATTTGTTTGCGACTCACCCCTGTAAAATCTTTATTTATTGTGCGATTTTAACCGGATTTCTTTTAAAGCGTAGATCTTGATAAACTGTATTTTTAAAGCAAAAACGCCATAATTTTATAAAATACAAGGCCTTGTATGTCAGTTTTTAAGAGTTCATATTAGCGATTTTTTTAAACAAAATCTAAGCATGCACTGGATTCACCACCCCTCAAAACGACCCTATACTAAATTTTATTAATAAAATTTAAGAAGAAAAATGCACAATAATAACAACAAAAATTTATACAGACAAGTTATCCATGAAAAAAACATTGAAATAAAATTAAACTAATAGTAACATTATTACTATAAGTTTAATTTTATTTCAATGTTTTTTTATGGATAACTTGACAGAATAAATTTTTGTAGTTATTATTGTGCATTTTTTAATAAAATTTGGTTTAAAAAATCGTTAATAGGAATTCTTAAAAATTTACTCTTAAAAACTGACATAGTAGGCCTTGTATTTTGTACTAATATGGCGTCTTTTGCTCCTAAAATACAGTTTATCAAGATCTACACTTTAAAATAAATCCGGTTAAAATCGCACAATAAATAAAGATTTTACAGGGGTGAGTCGCAAAAAATGGGTCACACTGAATAACTTAAAATTCATAATTTCAATTAAATAAAACAGCGCGCACCTGAGTTGTGTTATTTAAGTGTCAAATCCGTGCAACACAACGTAAAAACAATAAAAACGTCGATCAATAAAAAACCTAATTCGATCTAAAACTTTTAGTAACTAGTTTGAACGAACCTTGGTAAAAATTATTTCCTTTTTTACTACACAGCAAAAAACCTTACCTCCATTTGTAGATGGCGTGCTGGGCGTACCCTGCGACAGTATGATCTGCGATTCGAGTTCGCTGAGCTCATTTTTCAGCTCGGTCAGTTTCCAATTCGAGTTTTTGATTTGGGTCGCGACGTGACTGAGCGATTTTCGATCTGTCGAAGCTTCTTTCAGCTTTTCGGCGCCCTCTTTAATTTTTAGTTCTTTGCGAATCTCCTTTTTGATGATCTCCTTCAGCTCTTCCAGCTTTCCGGGCAGCTGCAGCTCGTTTAGGTTATCCGTCTGGATGCCGTATTTGTGTGACAACTCGTAGAGGACTGGGTGTTTTATGTAATCCCCCTGGAAATTCAAATTGAACATGGTTATATTTTGTTTATGATTTTTATGATCATTTTTTAAGATAAAAAAGTTTAATCATAAATTATATCACGAGAACTATGAATTTAATCGGTTAAACTAGGCTCAGTAGTTTTTTGTTTGGTTTTTGTTGGAAAATGTTGAATGCAAAATAATTTAATAAAATCACGAGACCGCGTAGCGGTCGAGGGGTTTTATTTTTAATTATTTTGCATGAAACTATTTTCCAAAAAGAAAAATCAAATAAAAAACTTACTAAGCATAGTTTGACAGATTAAATTTATAGGTTGAGTGATATACGTCTAGATTATTTCTCGAATTAAAGGAAACTATTTGACAATTCATAAAATCTGGCGTATGTGTCAAAATTTATAAATATTTTTTTAAAGAAAATTCCATTAATTTAAGAGATGAAATAATAAGTAATAATTGATATTTCGTAAACTAGATATCTTATTTTTTATTGTTTTTTAAAAAATGTTTGTTAAAACTTGTAAATAACACCATAAAATCGTAAACAAAAATCCAATATGGAGGCTAAAATTTAATCGCTTTTAAATATAGTTCTAGTGATTTAATCGCTTATTTAATAGTTATTTATCATAAATTATGTATTAAGGGCCTAATAAGGTTTTAATGGTCCGAGGCGCTATTTAGAAAAGCGTCGTAGGACCATAAAAACCAGTTATGCCAGCAATGCATACAAAACTTTATGCACGATTAAGTAATATATTATTATTTTTAATATATTATTGTTTTTAAAGACGTTTACGTCAATGAATTTTTGTTATAATTGTCATATTATAATGTCATCGTGCATAAATATTATATGGTTTCAAATACCTAGTACCCAAAATCAAATTGTACAACCCAACATAAACATGACTAATTGTAATAACTGTATTGTTAATATAAATTTAAAATAAAATAAGCTCATAGTTTTGCGCCTATTGTTTTTAATTTTTGACGTTTCATTATAGCCCGCTGGGTCATAATAACGCCCGCGGGCTATAAAAAGACGTTTACGTCAAAGAATTGTTGTTATAATTGTCATCGTGCATAAACGAAATTTATTCGAAAATTCAAGGCTTTTGATTGGTTCATATTATAATGAGGGAAATAATCAACAATATTAGATAAAATATTACACCCCATGGAATAGTTATTTATGTCATAAGGCTGAAGCACAAAAAGACACTAGGCCGCATGGTATTGTTTTACAAATAAAATTATGCTTTAAAGATAAAATGTTTTATATATAAAACATTTTATCTTTAAAGCATAATTTTATTTGTAAAACAATACATAAAACGTACATTTATAATAATTATTATTATTAAAAGTAAAAAGTGAGGTTAGATTGGATCTGAAAGTGGTCAATTTATTTATTGGATTTTGGGCACAGCCATATCTCAGTTATTAGACATGGGACCCACATCCAATTTATGTGTTTATGATGACATTAGGTATATAATAATAATATTAATTTATAATAATAATAAATTTTGAAATTTGTTGATAAACTGTAGAGAATTATAAATTGCACCACTTTAATTTGAATTATCTAAAATTGGGGGGCAGGAGGCTGAGAAGCACACTAAAAAGCTAACTTTTTTTCGCAAACTTCAATTTAAATTCTGCTTGCGTAGAACCTGTCTATATTTGGTCATTATAAACTTATATAAATTTGATGTGGGTCCCATGTCTAATAACTTAGATATGGGTGTGCCCATATCTAGGTGACATCCATTAATTACGTGAGATAAAAATGGGGTGGAGGGGTCTAGCATAATCTCACCAAATCTCATTTTAAGGGAGGAGGGGTCATTTGAGTTTAAAGAATTTGTAATATAATTCAATTTTGGGGTTTATCATGTTGTCCTCAGAGAAAGTTTCATGGCTAGAATATCACGTGAGGGATAGGGAGGGGGTCTACCACATCTCACCAAGGGGGAGGGGGTCCAAATTATCAGAAAAATACCTCACGTAATTAATGTATGTCACCCTAGAAGGAAAAAAATCGATTGGTTGTTAGATGTAAGATTAGGTCAAGAAATAAGTCTTTTTGCGCTGAGCTCAAAGTTTGAAGGCAGTCGCGTAGCAAGGCACAATATTTTCAAAGCACAATTTTATTTAGTAAATGATAGATAAAACGTACCATCACGTGTATCAAATATAATAAAATAAAATAAATAAATATGCTCCTGTTTAATAAATTCGGTAAACATCCGAACGACCTTCTGGCCGAACCCCGGGACAAACTTTTGGGGGCTGTAGTTCCCTTAAGAGGCATTTCTTGACCTATGTTCATAGGAACTTTTTTATTATTTATGCACTGCTGTTAAAGTATGGTGCACTAATTTCAGGACATCCCCTATTATAACATCGTGACGTCACTATATCGAGAAAATGTATTGATTTTTAAAGTAAATTGATATCAAAAATCGTTTTTGTTTCAATAGAATGGTTGTTTTTAGTGAATAAGAAAGATAAACAAACGTACTGCATTAAACGTTTGTATGGCTTTATAAACAGAGTCTAAATAGACGCACAATTATTTTGCTGGTAGGTAAAAAAGCTCGTGTCGGTATCCATTTAAATAAAATTAATGTTGAGAATTAACGATAACAGTATATAATCACTTAATAAGGCGCATAATTGCTTCCGTTACAGGAAGAAATATCTAATATTAATGGAAAATAATCTGTTTTTCGTTATAGTCTACTACCGTGCAATAGCTTCAAGTATTTATATCCTTGAGGTAATACATTTTATAAAATGTACATGGTGGTCAATCGAAAACAGTCCAGCAAGGACTTTGTATCACGCTGGGTTGACGGAATTCTCCAACAAGTCTAAGTAGCTCCAAATTTTCCGGTAAGAAAAATGGTAGATACAATTGTGATCACCAAAAATACCAGCCCAAACGATTAATTTCTCAGGATGTTGGGTACGAACCTCATAGAAGATCCTTTGATTCGTGTCGGACCAATAACGACAATTATGACGATTGACAATGCCATTAAGAAAAAATGCACACACATGCATGTATAAGAAGCAAACAATAAAAAGGTAGTATTATATGAATGGTGTTATGCAACAGTTGCAAAACTAAGATAATAGCGTCCGAAAAATTACTTGGTTCCTTCATTACTGTGGTCTTAATTATAGATTCAACGTTTTAATTTTATTTCCAAATCGCTAATTTAGTACTAAATTTGTATTTCTTATAATATTTTTTTCATTATTTTCAATAAAATAAGTAAATTTGTTGGTTGGTCCCTTGTAGAATAAATAAAACTGATAGTTATTGCCTATTGTTTTATTATAACATGGAAACCATCATTTGGAATAAGTTGATAAATAGTTTTTTTCTACGACCACTATGTAAAAGTCAAATTTCGTATTGGCATCGTTGCTTAGAAAATGAATCTTTTCATTGGCAAGGCAAAACACGAATGTAAAGTGACATTTCTGTGTGAAAAGTGACAGGTCTGCGTGAAAAGAAATTGACAGCATCGTTTGACATTCGTTTCAAATTTTGTATTGTATTTGTACATGTATGTCTAAATATCATTTAGAACACAATTAATTGTGTTTGTACAATAAATTCTGGTTTTTAGTGCTTTTATTTAAATTGAGAAGGTAAGTTTACTGATTTTAAGTAACTTATACCTTAAAAATTAAAAGAATAAGATTAAAGAATTTTAACAACTGTCAAACACGTTTTTAGGTTATTTTGTTTTGTATTTGAATATAATAAAAAATAAAAGGGTCGGAGAAAAAACATTGTGTTTCACTTGTGAGAAAGGCTTTCTTCAAGCTCGTGTTAATGCACACTCGGCCTAACGGCCTCATGGGCAACTTAAACACTCGCATGAAAAAGTCGCTTTTTAACACTTGTAAAACAAATAACTTTTGGAAATATTGATTTTGTCATATAAAACCATTGGTTCATTTTTTTTCAACATTTCAACTTAAACTAGATCCAAGTAGCATGGATCCTTGTTGAAGTATAAATACAGGGTGTCCCGGAAAATGTGGGAAATCTCTCGGATTCAGATAGAACATTAAAAAATAAGATGACAAGTTCCCATAAATTTTTTTCCTAGCGGCCCTCCCTAGGGAGATACGGATAGTCAAAAGTAACGTTAACCAAGCCGCTTAGCGCTGTATAACCTTTCACAATTTCAATATATAAGGAAAATTTGGCACAACCATGCAGCTTAAAGCTTTATTGAGATTTAAAAACTTTGATTGCAGAGTTCTATATTATTTTGAATATTTTAATTCAGTATTTTTCCGCATGTTCTATTTCTTTAAAATATTTTCAAAAGGTGGCCCTTACATGGGTTAATACATTTATCCCGCTTATTTTATTATGAGGGATGGTTCCCTGTTGCATAACACCATTCATATATAATTATTTTGTACATTATTTCACAAAATTGTAAACGGCGGTTATTATCATTTTCATGCAATTCTTGAAAAAGTTGAATTTTATATAGGTGCCATTTATTATGTTTCAGAATTCTTTGGTACTTAAGTAGGGTCCAAAGTAATTTCACCCAGAACAGCTACTTCTACAGTAACTGCCTCATTTCTCACCGGATTTTATATCTCTGTTTTATTTGCCACTGAATCAGTTTGCCGGAAATTTGCTACTAATTCTAGGATGTAACCATGATGTAGGTGTCTATTTGCATGCCTCTCATTAAACAAAGTTGCTGTTACTCTTGCCCATAGATTGTTTATAAAATACAATTAAATATTTTCCACTCTCTCCGCAATATAATAAACCATTTTTTTTTTTAAATAAAAGCACAGAAATAACGAACTATCCACATCAACTACTTTACTTAAGATTAAAAAAAAATTTTTTGCTTTACAAAATTTGTTAATAAGCGGTCCAGTAAAATATTCGGAATTCCATTGCTCGGCGATGCGTAGCTCAAATTAAAAAAACGCCCCATTTTAAAGAA